ATCCAGTGGTCTTGACATATGAAAAATATTAGAAGACTTCAGGGACTTCATCTAGATGGCAATATATTGGCATTCACCTATGGCAATATCACACAATATACCGAGAATGCAGCCATGCCGGGATGGATTTTTACTGGGGTGTGTGGACCCCCTTGCCAGAGGGGGTGCTATTTTTTATGATAAAGCAAAAAAGACAACATGAGATTTGAGTAATAACAACAGTAATTTGAGTAATAACATGATAAGTGAACTGTGAACAACAACTACAATTCAAATACAGTAGTTTGTTGATGGGCGGGCGGCACACATGACCGACACAACTCTGCAGTCGGCCCCAGAGCACCCCCCTACCAGATCATGCTGGATCCATCCCTGCACCCATGCAGGTTCTGCCTTCTCACCAGTACAATTGATCAAGTCGTACACATTCATTACTGCCAATCTATTTATTATTTATGTCTCATTACAATTGGTATGTACAATATATTTTCATTATCTTGTGCATCACCAGTATCATCACAACTTGTATTTCACTAGCATCATCATCATTATTCTCACCATTCTAATTTTATTTATAGTCAATCACAATGAATCAAAAATTTCCTATCACACCACTCATATTACTTAATTGCCCAAGGTTAAGGCAATTTCACAGCACTCCAGGATCTGAATACCTGCAACCACCTTTTTGATCTTATTCTAAAACAGAGACAAACAACAAATGTCTTAATGGAATATCTATCATTGCAATAAAATGACTGGCATTTGAAACCACATTCTGCTGTATTAGTAACAGCAACTGCTCAAGATCGCAACTAAGGTAAATAATAGGGATGTAGTACTGGTAATTGTCTTTTTACATTTTGCTCACAACCAAAGTCCAATTATATGGAGCAAGTATAGAATATCCAGCCACTTTTTATTATTCACTTAACCTTACCCTTGACCACTGGTCCACTGATCTAATAGTGCCCTTGACAAGTAAAATTGTCTGGTGTTGGACAGAGAAAAATAACAAAGTATGCCATATTTGATTATTCCATTGGTGTGCGAGAATTAGACTCTCCTTTGGATGGGCAAAATACTAAAATTGGGGGCTATGGAGATTTTATGGCAAGAGGTGGGGGAACATTTTCTCCAGTAGAATGCATGTTGGCAATTGGAATTTTTTAAAATTAAACATCAAAATCATAAACCAGAGTATGTATTGAGGCGATAAAGAAAAGAATACCGGACTGTAAAATTAATGTAATCTAATTTTCTTGTCACATACAGAAAGTCAGGTACCGGGTAAGGTTAGCATTTCCACACTTTTCTGTTATCATCGTACTATTCTGTTAAGTTTTTGTTGGATGAGTCAGAGACCAATGGTTGGAATGAGGGCAGTTAATTTGTAATTCTTGCATGTATTCATTTATTAACTTTTGACTACTGTAATAGTCAGCCAGTTAAATAAGTATTTTACTGAGGGTACAGCTTGACGATTTTACATGTCAAAGAGAACTCCAGTTATGAAAGACTGAATATTTTCTGAGCAAGCTGGAACAGAAGATTTTGATTTTAGTGAAGGAGGATGCTGGATGCAGATAACAAAAAAATTATCAGGCATGAAGGAGGGTCTATATCCAAAAGCGAAAGATGGAGGAATAATTAGACAAAGAAAACTAATTATACAAACAGAGAGCCACGAATCGGCTGGAATTTAGGATATATAAACTGATAAATATATGAGAATAATATAAATATATCAATTTTTATATAATATGCATTATAAAATCGTACCTCGAATATAAAACATTCGATCTTTCATCTTTTATATAGCATTCAAAATCCATGTGGCTTCAAAGTTTATAATTTCCATCAAAATAAAAACAAGCTTAAAATCTGCTGCCTGTTGTTTTAACATATGAATTTTAAAACACTTGTTATACATTCATATTTTAAAAATCAAAGGCAAAATATATGTATTTTTAAAATTTAGTTCGCCCATTGCAATGTTCAGTTGTTCATCCCCCCGGGATGACATGACTTTAATAAGGCCAGGTTACAAAAATGTCCAATATTTTTGGACACACGTGACCAGTGTTTACCAGGGCCTTTGCTTCCCGTACCAGAGCCTCTGAACCGCGCAAAGGCCTGGGTACGAGGTTGT